TTGATTTTATCATGATTGTTTGGTATGTTGTACCTCAGATTTGTGAAGTGATCCACTATTTGGCAAGGGATTGGGATGTTGACTATAAAGAATAGTTTAACACCACAATTAACCATTTGGTTTGTTCAGCTTTCACTCAGGAGCAAAAATCAGCCTTTAAACTTGAAAGAAATAATTGACATTTATCCTGATAATTATCGATAGATATGAAATTTATAATCATGATATCATTTTTGGCTGTTTCGCCCAGCCCTAACTTAACCAATCTTTCCCCCAAGCAGTATTCAACATGAGAACCCTGGTGTCTATAGTCAAAGTCCTTAGCTTTGTACACTCACCATCCATCCTGACCACCTCCCTTCTTCTCCCATGTGATACCAGGACAGACAGCGTCCTTTACTTGAAAAACTGTTGCCAGTAAACATTCCAGGCAGCAAGCACACTGAGGCCTTGGCCATTGTTTCAACAGTATTTTCATGACTATGTTTCAGTGTGAAGCAACCAGTACGTATGTGTTAACTTAACATCTAAAAATCTTTGGCCTGTCTTAACCTAAACATCTAGATAACCAATAAATCAATGCTTACTAAGGGCTGATGCTGAAGTTGTAGTTCAACCCGATTATCTGACTGGATGAAGTTCAAATCGCCGGCATGACCATCAAGGTGGCATTATTTATTTGTACTCTTCTTCGTGTGGAGAAAATTGAGTCAGTGCAAATTTCCAGAGAGAAGTGTGTGGGGGGGGGTCTTATTCACGTCAATGCGGTCAGCTTCTACTTGGAGGGTAGCATCTAGTGGCCATCAGAGGAACTGCAGCCATGACAACCTGAAGAAAGAAGCTCTAAGAATTTTTAGACTAGAAAGTCAATATTTCCCCCTACCAACTACTTTTTCAATATTCCTATTCTACAATACATTATTAGACAACCTAATATTTAATCTGCGCTAATCAACATTTTTATTTTATCAATGGTACATTGATAAATGAAAAGTATTGCTTGTAGTGACAAACAAACAGAGAATTATCACATCATTCTATAGTTACCCGCAGAGCTACGAGTGGTTTCTACCTGCATCAGAATTGCCTGCAATCAGATTGTTTGTGCTTTTCCTGGCAAGGAAGGCGCAATCAAAGAACCATTAGCCTGCTGGGGAGAAGCCTTTACTGTCGCTCTGCTCTGATTTTTTTAGCAGGATGAATTACAAGGCAAGACTGGGAGGGCTGACATCCTACCTCCAAAGCCTCACAGCAAAGCTCCTATTACAGGTTAGACCGTGAAAGGTCAGATCACCTCACCTGTGACAATGAGGGACTACATGCTGTGTTTCAACTAAAAGGCTAAATATCAGGTGACTGTCTGTGACTCCACTGTTTCTGTGTTTACTGGGTGGGGGGTGCATAAAGACACTGGGTTACAGCATTTAAGGAAGACAACTGATACGTTTTGTGTTATATTAAGGTTCAAAAATGTTGGAAAAAAGGGACAAATTAACTACTTTAAAGCTGCACTAATCAATCATTTTAAATTAACAACGGGCCAAATTGCTGTGTAATTTGACTCATTACTCTCTCACGGTGACAAACCCACAAGAATTATCAGGCAGCTCTGCAGTTTCCGTCAGCTCTATGGAGCTTTTTAGCATGTTCGGACTCACTGTTTTGATTTAACCAATCGCTTTTTTTTCCTTCAGTCTCACCAGCAGCTCACTGTTTTTGTGTGAAAAAGCTCCTATAAAACCACTGGTTTCAGCATAACCAGGCCCATCCCAAAACAGCAGAGGCACAAACTTAGCGACAAGCTGGTAAGCACAGCAAAAGAGCATAATATTTTTCTCAAGAGAGCAAACAGCTAAAAGTGGAGTTACTACTGACCAATATACCAATCCCAATATATTATATGAATAAGACTCCAAATGAAGGCTTATGTTACTCCATCTGTGCCAGATGCTTATTGTGACTGTTAGCACATTTGCCATGACAACTTTATATGATCATACTGTCACTTTTGTGTTTGCAGTTTGTTCTGCTGCCCTCAAGTTGCCAAAAACATTTTTAAAAAGCAACAGGAAACCCCAGCAGATAGTTTCTATATATACAGTCAACCTAACGTTATTGAAAATCATCTGGAGAGCTTCTGAATTAAATAAAAATCCAAATTCCTTGGGGGGAAAAGCTATGGCTCTGTTAATATGTAAGATTTACCATGTAAGTAGTTGATAAACAACCCTAACCAGAAAAGCAGCTGGTGGTGGCCGCATTTGACATAATCAATGTATTCAGTGGTCAGAGACCACGATGTCTCCAATTAGACCATTGCTGGCCTCATTAAAATACCTCCAGGTGCATTGTTTAACCTATTATCTTTTCTTGTTAAGTGCAGACAACCTCATGCAGCTTGCTGTGGAAACATCAACACTACTATGATTTTTATTAACGTAAGTGAAATGGGTTTTTTTCAGACTACTGATTCATTTTAATCCAAAGCTCCTAATAACTCATGATTTGAGCCAAACTCTTCACTATGACCATTTTCATGTAAAAATGAAAAACAACAAGGAATAAATAAATAATATTGAATAAATGAGACTATGTTGATTCAAACAAAGATTATGCTTGGGTATCAATATTTGTGCCTACCTTCTGGGAAGATAAACATTTCTGGACCCTGTTTTTTATTTAGCAAACGGCTAAATGCATCCGTTTTACATAAAAATACTCTGTTTAAATAGAATACAGCCTAGAGTTATAAACGCTTTCAGAATTCAGATATCTGATCAAAAAATAAGTAAAGAAACCTATGAATCTGACCGAGCATTTGACCTTCACCTGCAAACCAGCAATCAGTCAATTCTAAAGCGGCATCATAAAGGGGCCCTGAATTCTGGCAAATATCCTTTATCTTATATTCTACTTCATTCTGCCTATTGACATAAAATACACCTGCAACTATTTTGATAATTGATTTATCATAAGCAAAAATGACAAATTCTCTAGTTCCAGTTCAGTTGGGAGGATTAGCTGCTTTTCCTGGTTATGTATATGTTGCAAATCAAATCTCTCTGGGTTTCGGGCAGTTTGTCAGACAAAATAAAACGTCTGATAGATATTTTCTAGACCATACAACTAACTCATTTCCAAGCAACTTCCTTGTATATGTAAACCTACTTGGCAATAAAGGGGATTCTGGTTATGATTCATCAAAAGTAATTGTTAGTTGCAGTCTTCAGTTATCAATTCCAACAATTCTACTATGAACATGCTTTTGTACAAACTGTATCATACAGGTGCTTGCTTTTGTCAAGATTTAACCTCTTCAGATCAGCTAAAGACCATCTAGAGACGCACATTACAGTTTCTTCTAAGGATCAGCACTGACTAAATATTTAGTAAACAAGCTTAGTAATATAGCATTCAAATTCAAACCTGATTTCTTTTTAGTTTAGAGAGGTTTAGAGTATTATTTAAATACTATTTCAGATTTATTATGCACCCAAGATCTTCCTCTTTGTGTTGGTTCATTTTGTAAAAGTAAAAAGAGTTTAATGAAATCTTACATAAAGAGGTTAAAAAAGAGAAACACCAAAGCATAGTTTACATTTTGTATGACCTTGTCCTTTGCAAATGCCTTCATCATTTCAAATGTTTAAGCTTTTAGTATTGGTCCCTCAGCTATTCCAGCAATGTTCTCCTATCAGAGTAAAACGCTTGAGTACATAAGAAAAATGAGGTAGTCTATTTCTAAAAGTTATTATGGCCTTTGTCGGTCGGTATATTGACACTCTGTCTATCCACTAACACATCAAAGTGTCAAGGGGCTAGAGTTTGTCTGAAGGCTTTCTCTAGCATATACAAATGAGACAGGACTCCATAACTGTTGTGGGGTTTACCTCGTCCTTCAGGAGTCTGGTTGCCGCCTCGAGGATGTGACAGGCTGAGACCATATGAATCAACTAACACCTTCTGACCGGGGTGCACCTGAGGGCTGCAGGGACAGCAGGGATACACCGAGAATCCCTGGAGGATCCAGATGTTGCCTCAAATGTGGGAAAACCTCCCTGCCTTAACACAACTATTTAATCGCCGCATGCATTTGATTTATTTAAAGCCCTGCCATCAAATGACAGACATGGATTTGCAAATACAGCCGTCATTTTTTCAGACCTGGGCAAACAACAGCAAGTAGCCTAACCTAACAATTGCCTTCCCAAACAGACGTAATGTTATCAGCGTTTCCAGTTCAATAAACTGTGGCCCCCGATACGCCTCATAAATGGAAAGAACGTCACGCAAAACTCAATGTCATCCTTCAGCTATTTAATATATCCAGCTTCACTGGGAAGCAATAGTTACACTTGTTGTAAAATAACACGCAGTTTCTGAATCTATGGGAGCAAAATAATTTTTCGGCACCCACCAAACACACCCAGCGGCAATTTTTTAAATAGCATTTTAACTTTAATAAATGATTCGCACTGGTTGCTACCGCCCTCCGCGGTGCATTCCAATGGGAAAAGACGGCAAGAAACTGCAGGCGAGGCTGAAATAAAGTTGTCATTTCCCAAAAAATAAACAACCTATTGTGGGTTCTTTGTAGGCCGAATTAATGCCCGGCTTTAAACACTTTCAATACTAATTTGGTAATATTTTATATGTTGTGTCGCGCCGGTAATAACCAAAGAAACATTACATTTATGTTTTTGAAATGGCGTCTGGCAGGTCGTTCCCTGTGAAAACATCACGCATCAGCCTACCTGAGCTGCCGACAGCAAATACAATCACATTGTTGTCTAATTGTGAAGAAAAAACAGACCGCAAAATGACAAGCACAAGCACACATTTATAATCACTATCAATATCTAAATTACAGAGCAGCTTTATAAAAAATCAACTGCTCCATGCAGCAACTAATAAAGGCAGCGACCACAGCAGAGGACAGACAGCACACACATAATCCAGCAGACAGGCACAGGAGCAACAGGCGACACAAGTCTCCTCACCTGCAGACACAGTCATCAGCTGCTGAAGTGAAAGCGTTCATATCACATGAAGCAGTTCAGACAGGCTGTGAGGGCAGCCTGCCTGCTGTAGTATCCGCTCACTGCTGTCGGCTGCGAGTCGCAGTGTGAATTCGCATCTTTACCTTTCAGTATAAACCACCGCACAGGAGTGAATGGGGAGAAAGGGAGGGGTTCTCTGCGTGAAGTCACCCGGTAGAGAAGACAACACCACTTCCGGTTTCAACTTTCAGTATAAAACCTCGTGCAAGTTAGTATTTCTCATATGTAGATATAGGGCCTCTATACATAGCCTATATAACTCCTGTATAATGTAAAAGACGGACTTCTTATGAAGGGAGAATTAACTGAAGACAAATACAAATGTATTTAGGTTTTGTTCTCTGGATGATTGAAACTGAACTGGATCTGGGTCATGTTTGTCAAAATTCCCAAACTGAATAGTTTTAATTTATCCCCATATGCTGCGCTGGATTAACCTGCTCACCCTGGAGGCCCCGGAGTAAAAATAATGGCGAGTCGATATTCTCCCACCTCTGTGCATCTGCGCATTGTGTAGGCCTACTGTACGTAGCCTGTTGCCTTCAAGCCCATATTAGCCCACTATAAGTACAGGGCATACAGCCCAAGTCAAACAAAAAATACCAGTGCTTTCCACAATCATTACAAATCTGTTTAATCTTAGTCACATAACCGATTTAGGTTAGGTTTAGGGCAACATCATGGTTTGGGGTAAACTGACTTCTTTGTTAAGGTTATGGAACGTGCATGCTCATGGTTAAAAGACACCAAGCCTGACTATTAGTTGGAAACAGGAATGTCCAACCTTTTGTTGACTAATCCATCCACGCTGACCTCCTCTCTATTCAGATTTGGTTGGTCTATAGCAACATCACATGATTTCCTCCTTTGCTCCCGTCATAATTACTGTGGCTACTAGAGGGCTTTGTCCTATGACCATAAACACAATGTTGTTTTGGGGCACTTACTGAAACAACTGATGCTGTAATTTTTCTTTGAAGGACAGTCTCACATGGCACTAGACGTTACAGCTTCAACTTATGGGACCCAAAACACAATATGACCTGGTGTAATACTGTAAAACATTTCTGAAACTGTTAATTGACAAATATCTCCTTTAATTATGGATATTTGGAAAATAAAAACATTGAATAAATGTTATTTTAATCAGTATATAGTGTTTACAAGTATTGTTAAACTGTCAACACAGTTTTGATCATTGAAAACCGCCATAATTATTGTAATGTCACAGCTTTTGACTTTTATAATTCTTAGATTACAAGTTAGATTAACATAGTATATAATTGCCCCAAAGTGGTAAAATTACAGAAAGGTAATATTTAATTTATTGTTAAATGACAGGCGTTCACACCTTTTAATGGGCTTAAAAAAGAAAACTTCCTTTAAAATTGTGATGAAAAATTTATTGCATTTTACAGATACTTGATTGAAGAGTCTTAGCTATAGGTGTATTATTAAAACCTAAAGTAAACATATTTAAATCCTGTTTTTTCATAATTAAAAATTACCACATGTTCACATTTTACATTATTTTACATATATCCATTTATCCTATAATAGAGACCAGAAGCCCATTTTGAGTTATTTTGTACTAGGGTTATTTATGACAGTTTCAGACTTCCTTAAATTTACTTAATTTGAGCAAACTTAGACATTTACATTTATTTATTTAGCTTATGCTTTTATCCAAAGTGACTTACACTTGAGGTTGCACATGGATGGGTCACAGTGGGGGATTGAACCCAGGTCTCTCACACCAAAAGCGCTTATCTTATCCATTGCGCCATCATCACCACACAGCCCTTTTAAAGTTCCACCACAATACAAATTCCCACATCCGATACTATTTCTAGACCATTTATTCAGTTCCATGCTCACAACAAATAAGCCACACAAGTCAAACATTTCAGTGTGAAGAATTGTTCTCCTGAAACAAAAGTAGTTTAGTTTTTATTTACCTTATTGACGACATTTTCAGATCTATTCATTAGAAACCTAATTGGGTCAACATAAAGAATTTTGGATACTGTTAGACACAGCTCCAAGATTAAAGTGCAATCTGAATATAAAGTAATTGGAAAGTATTTCTTAATGCTGGTATTTGGCTTTGATAGGACTGTACAGAGACATGAAAGGCAAAGGAGAGGGGGAAATGGTGGTTTTATATACAGTGAACTTAATGCACAATCCAAAGACTTCTTCCCTGGTTTCAATATGATATTTTATGACTTTCTAAAGCCAGTTTTTGTATCTGGTAAATGTTGTTATGGCTGTATGTGTTTCTCTGCGCTGTGCATCCTTGTTCCTTTTCTGTCCTCTAGTTCTGCCCCAGGAGTGCTACAGCTGATTGCTGAATTACGTCCACCTGGCCTTGCAGTGCACAACTGTGTGCAGGGGAGTTGGGGAAGTCCAAAATTTCTAAATTAAGTTGGTATACAAAATGTGAATGAAGTTTTTCTTGGCAGTCCAAATGAATCCATTTGTTTGCAAGTTTTTGGTATGTAAGCCAAAAGTACATTTTCAGATTTGACTGACTTTGCACAACAACACCTCTGGATGACCTAAAGAATCCACTTGGGTTCTTAGCTCAATTGGAAAACATAAACAACGGCAAACAAAATCAACAGTATATCTATCCAAGGTCTGCAAGACATTAAGTAAGTTTCCCTTAATAATCGCCCTCTCCACAGAACTGGGGAAGAATTCAAGTCTGGTGGCTACATGGCTGCAAAAATGACAGAGCAGATAACCACTCCCCCTCCACCACCAGCTCTTCCATTAAGTGTGAGCAATAAGCAAAAGCCAGATGATCTACACTAACTTGCCGTTCCTTACATCCAAAAAGCTTGACAGCGTTTGATTTACAATATAACTGCATTGATAGACAGAAATCATTGAAGCCCCAGTGGCCTAATGGATAAGGCACTGGCCTCCTAAGCCAGGGATTGTGGGTTCGAGTCCCATCTGGGGTGGATGTTTTGGGGTGGTGATCGCGCATAGAGAAGATGCTTGTCTTTGGTGTGGGAGACCTGAGTTAGATTCCCACTGTGAGCCATCTACCATTGTGTCCCTGAGCAAGACACTTAACCCCTAGTTGCTCCAGAGTCGTGCGACGTGTATAGCAATTGTAAGTCACTTTGGATAAAAGCGTAAGCTAAATGAATAAATGTAATTCAGATGTTCCAATCACTTCCATGGCAACATTTGTGTAAAATGGACTGCTTCTCCAAACATTTGTGTCTCTCTCAGGAGCTCAGTGAATTCAAGCTTGGTACCTGTGCAATAAGTCCATTTGTGAAATTTCCAACGCAAACTCAGCCTTCATGGAATGGGTTTCCATGGCCGAGCAGCTGCATCCAAGCCTTACATCACCAAGTGCAATGCAAAGCGTCGGATACATGGTGAAAAGCACTCCGCCACTAAACACTAGTGCAGTGGAGACGTGTTCTCTGGAGTGATGAATCACGCTTCTCTGTCTGGCAATCTGATGGATAAGTCTGGGTTTGGCGGTTGCCAAGAGAATGGTACTGGCCTGACTGCATTGTGCCAAGCGTGTGAAGTTTGGTGTGGGGGTGTTTTTCAGGGGTTGGGCTTGGCCCCTTAGTTCCAGTGAAAGGAACCAAAACATTTTGCAAGTTCATGCTCCCAGCTTTGGGGAAACAGTTTGGGAATGGCCCCTTCCTGTTCCAACATGACTGCACACTAGTGCACAAAGCAAGGTCCATAAAGAGATGGATAAGCGAGTTTGGTGTGGAGAACTTGACTGGTCTGCACAGTCCTGACCTGAACCCGATAGAACACCTTTGGGATGAATTAGAGCGGAGACTGTGAGCCAGGCCTTCTCATCCAACATCTGTCCCTGACCTCACAAATGCGCATCTAGAAGAATGGTCCAAAAGTCCAATGAACACACACAAACAGCGGACTACCAGTTTTAAAACAGCATTTGACATTTGTATTAAAGGAAAATCTAGTATTTGCGGGTGTTGTATCATTTTTTTTTTTTTACAATTTATATTGATTACATTAACAAGATTTTTATGTGAAATTATACAATAAAATTCAATTAAAAGCAGCACTCTACTATAAATTTTAAGCCTCATTATTTGTATTATAGCAGTGTTCAACTATATTTAAAAGGTAATTTAATTGTTTTTACAGGTGTATATGTTCTTAATTAAACAATAAAAGCCCCACAAATTGCACAAGATTTTATGTAAAATTAAAGTTACAGACTTGTCATTTTGGAATATTACGGTATTTTTACAAGGGTTATTTTACAGTATTTTTCTGGCGCCCCAGCTGCCAGAATATTTCCGTTTTTTCACTTTTTGTTTTTAACAGTGTATGTGAATCATGAGTTTAGACTGTTTTATAAAGAAATAGAGTCTTAAAACAACATTTTGTCAATGTAAGGCTGGACTGACTGAAAGACAACATGATTCGATAATAATGGTGGACCTACCTTAATTGATCCATGTCTATTTGTATTTTTTTTTTCGTCTTACTTTATTTATGTCATTTTATTTATGTCAGAGAATGAAGGCTATTAGATGCAAATAAGGTTCCCAGCTGGAATCAAACTAGGGATGCTGCAGTTTTATGGTATAAGTTGCAAGTACCGGGCCAAAGGGCAGCCCCCATATTTCCCTTTTCAGTGCGTTTTAAATTTATGTTTTTATGCATTTCTTTACTTTATGTGAAACACTTCAAATTATCTCTGTGATTTAAAGATGCTGTAAAGGGGTTACACATTAGTCATGGTTAGAAACCTGTATGCACTGCATCTACTTTGTATAGTTTAAGAAGCAACGTCTCATGCATTTGTCCTTGTCAAATAAACAAGTAAATAAATAAAAATAAAATAAAACAACATGTGCCCAAACACATTAGCATTGAGATTCTGTCATGAGATTCTGTCATGACGATGCTCTTATCTTCTTCAATCATTCTGGACTAAATGATAGTTTGACACATAATTTTCACCTCTGGCCACACACTTCTAAGTTTTCTGACACCATTTTAAGCAGTGAAGTTGATGTTGTGGAGGATATTTACAGGACTGAAAGGACCCTCTTGTTCTGACCAATGAAAAGTTACTCTTGCTTCTGT